CACACGAGCTACTGCCCCGCCACTGGGCCGCTACTGCCCCGCTACTGGGTCGCTACTGGGTCGCAACCCGTCTCCTGAGTAACTAGTCCAGTAACATGTCGTTTGGCTGCCATAGAGGTAGGGATAGACCATGTATGCGTGGATTCATAATTTTACATACACGTCGCCTAGCAGCAGCTACATGCATACGAAATTCCAATCAAGTTAAGCCATATGCAATGCCTGCTTCAGCTGAAGCAGCTGCAGCTGCAGCAGCTTCCAAACAATCTGCAGCTTCCAAACAGCACCAAACATTTCCACAACAGCGGCTGCTGCAGCTGCAGCTCATCGATCTGTCAACAATTTGCCTCAAAACATGCTACATTATAGCTCAGAAGCGCTCTATCCACCCTAACACTTTCTGGTATTCATGCCTAGAAGTAGTCCTCCATCACCGTCAGTTAACACTCCAAGACAAGTCTGTACAGTGACTGTACAGTGCAGCAGCGCTGCTGCTAGCAGTAGCTTCTCCACAAGCGGCTTGTGAGCCTGTATGCAGCAGCTGCTGCAGCAGAAGCTTCGAAACAGCTCCAAACAGTTTCATATTGGGTGCACCCAGCTGCAGCTCATTCATCTCTCAACAATATTTGCCTCAAAACATGCTACATCATAGGTCACATGCACTATCCACCTTAACACCTTCTGGTAGTCATGCCTAGTATTAGTCCTCTATCGCTGTTAGTTAACACTACAAGACATTGCTGCAGCAGCAGTCCTCCACAAGCAGCTTGTGAGCCTGTATGCAGCAAAGATCAGGCAGGGGCATACAATAGCACCTTTGTCAGACCATCAAGAACTGCAATGACTGTGATGTGGAACTTAGAATGCAGTTTTATGCCACACACCTTACTACTGCTTTAACCCTCCACTGACTCTGCGTGCTGATGTGTGGTGGGGAAAGCATGTGGTGTTGTCCACAGCAGCTGCAGGTTGCTGGGTGGGCCCTGTAGACAGACAAACATGCCCATCAGAAGTTAAATACACCAAACCCTGTATAGGAGACTCCATACAGAATATATGCAGCAAGAGGTAATTTGACACAAAATCCAAAAACTGCAGTTGCCCTTGTTTGCTTGCACATGAATGACAATTACCCCCCCTCAAAATCAGAGTGATGAACGTAACTGTGTAGATACCTGTAGTCACAGCTCCCAAGCAGAAAAAGTATGCCCGGGAATCGAACTCAGGTCGTAACTAGGATACTTGCCTAAAACCAACCCATTCCATCATGACTTCCACAGCTGGGAACATCTCACCATTCCCAAGTGGTTCCCAGTCTTAGTTCCGTGTATCAGCTAGTAACCAACATACTTCCTCAACGGCTTCTTCCTGTTTAAACCTGGGTAGTTGCCTTAATCAACCTGTTACATCATGATTTCCCCCAGAGAACAACTCACCAGTGGTCACTATTCACGTGTCATGCCCCGTGATATGAGCCAGTAGCCAACATATGCCTCCATCCTCAAAGGCTTCCAAACCGGCACCCATATCTCAGGCAGAGCGGCATCATGCTTATGTCACCTTTCTTCATCGTAGGCAGAGCTTTGGTGGATGATGCCGTCTGCAGCTCCCGTTTCTCGCTTCTGTACACATGCCTGCTGAAGCAAGTTTACCATATGGGGTTGCAACCCCCTCATTTGAGTCCTGCAGATCATGCAAACAAGCAGTTGCAATGTCTAGCACACAAGCCCAATTTTACTACTTCTCATGAGACAACATCATACTTTGGGTTGTTGCTTGGGTTTGGTGCTGCCCAGGTGTGCAGCCATGGCATGAGGAGCGTGGTCGCGATGGTGAAGTCCTTTGTTGCCAAGTTGCCATAGAACTCGGCAAAGTCGTCATATTCCATTCCACCGACGGCCAGGAATTCCTCAAACGCTTTGGTGGCCTTATCACCAGCAGCACTGCAAACGTTGCTGGGCACGTTTAAAATGTACCGCTCATCTAATGAACAAGTGCAATGGCTGATGATGCCACTCACTTGTCATTCGTTGGCTGCATCATAGCTGCAGCTGGACCTCGTGCATCCTGCGCCTATTGTCCGACGGCTGCGTGGGCTGCATCCCAAATCCACCCACAAAATCATCATTGGCTTCCATTGTGATATTCCTCTTAAGCATCTTTAGAGATTTGACCTATGAGGTTAACCATAGTTAGAGAGTAGGGTCGGGCTGGAGCCAACTATAGCACAGCCAGAGACTCTTGATCCTGAGTAAGGTAATTATTACAAAGACGATAACACTTGTTAGTTTGATGCTGCAATGAGTGGCAATGCACAATGAGACAGGTACAGATCCTGCCTGTGGGTCGCCGCTGTACTGCCAAGAGATTGGCTGGCGCAAATGAAAGGCACCAACGGCAAATATATTTGAGGTGGAACCATTCTGTTTATTCATGCAAGCAGCTAACCGCGGTCTATGTGAGCGAGGTAGTTCGACTGTGCAAGCATGGCAGTCCAGCCAGAGGGTTGCAGAGATGGGGGATTGGGGGCAGGTACTGGTCAGGCGGGATGGGGAATAGGGTTGACAACGTCAGGATGGGATGTGGGGCCCAGGGCGAGGATTAGGGATTAGGCGTGCTACACTACTTTTGGGATGGGGATTGCTGTCGGGGGTGAGGATGGGGATGGGATCCCTGTCTGAGGGATGGGGATTGCAACCTTGACCAAGGAGGGGATTGGGAGCCCTGGCCAGGGATGGGGATGGGACCCTGGTCGACAGGACGGGGATTGCAGGCTTTCGCAAGTTTAGGATGAGGTCGCTGCCATAGGATTGGGAACACAGTTGGAGGATTAGAATTGGGTGTTCTGCTGTAAAATGAGGCTGCAGGTGCAGAACTTGGAATACTGACAGGACTGCAAAACAGGCCAAGGATGGATTGTTGTCGATAGTTGCTTACATGGAAACTCAAACAAACACAAGGAGGTTCTGCTTGCAAGTCGCGTCCCATAGCAAACCAAACTCAAACACAAGGAAGTTCTGCTTGCAAGTCGCGTCCCATAGCAAACCATACTCAAACACAAGGAAGTTCTGCTTATAAGTCGCGTCCCATAGCTAACCAAACTCAAACACAAGGAAGTCCTGCTTGCAAGTCGCGTCCCATTGCTAACCAAACTCAAACACAAGGAAGTTCTGCTTATAAGTCGCGTCCCATAGCAAACCAAACTCAAACACAAGGAAGTTCTGCTTGCAAGTCGCGTCCCATAGCTAACCAAACTCAAACACAAGGAAGTCCTGCTTATAAGTCGCGTCCCATAGCAAACCAAACTCAAACACAAGGAAGTTCTGCTTGCAAGTCGCGTCCCATAGCTAACCAAACTCAAACACAAGGAAGTCCTGCTTGCAAGTCGCTTCCCATAGCTAACCAAACTCAAACACAAGGAAGTCCTGCTTATAAGTCGCGTCCCATAGCTAACCAAACTCAAACATAAGGAAGTCCTGCTTGCAAGTCGCGTCCCATAGCAAACCATACTCAAACACAAGGAAGTTCTGCTTATAAGTCGCGTCCCATAGCTAACCAAACTCAAACACAAGGAAGTCCTGCTCCGGCATCGGCCGACTGCCCGATGGGTCCATCCCAAGCTGCCTTGGGTCCATCCCAAGCGTTTCCACGATGTTCGGCCAGTCCCTGGCGAAGCCCAACCCCGTCAATTTTGCAGCTTTTGACGCTTCTGCAGAAGGTTAACACCATTGGGAATAGAACAGGCATGGAACGCGACTTGGTGTAAATGTGAGAAACGTGCACCATTGGTGCCAGTTCTTCAGCCAGTCAGACGCAGTCCAACCCCGTTCTTACCTTGTCCGGCCCATGCACATCCACACCCAGGGCACCATCGGATGCCATTCTGGAAGAGATAACAAACGGTCGTCGGGCTATTACTAGCTTGCGCTTAAGGAGATGGGCGTCTTCCAAGACGAAGTTTGGGACACTTTGAATAAGACCCGAACGTAATCTGTATGCAATCTGCAGACCCTACTGGGGGACAAGTCCGCAGGAGGCGTATCAACATGCAAGACGTTATCAACAGCAAGCCGGTTTGGGGGTCCAAGTACAGCCTGTCACGCTGACTAGTTGGACAAGGCTGTTTACTCTTCTGCGTGAAGGCATAATGACTTCACCAGGAGAGCAGCAAGAATGAAGTCGCCACTGCGACCCAGTTGTACGACAGCACCACAGAACCAGCCTTAGAAGATCCGGTCGCTTCGCTCCATCGCATCTAAGCCAACAAAACGTTATCAACAGCAAGCCGCTTTGGGGGTCCTGGCTCAAAGTGAGGCCCACCCTGGAGTTAGTTGTTAAGCTTTCATGTTACTTCCTCATACAAACTGCTTCTCTAGTACTGTGATGTTTTATTGGTTATATTCATGCAAACTGAGCTGAAGTTGCAAGGCGCGTAGATGCTGGCCGCATCATGCCGCACCGCATTCCCAAGCCAGTATGCACAACTCTGAGAAAGTTTGCAGTCTTT